TGTGTGTATCTTATGTACACCACTTCACATTGTTTTCTTGAGTAATATTCTGATGATCATTATTACTTAATTGTATTTGGCCTTACTCTTAATACACTGTATGTGTCAAATAGCTAGTACTAATGTTACCTCTTCTCCTCTCCTCTTACCCCTGGTAATTATGAGATAAATATCTCTCTGCAAGTCTTTCTTTAACATTTTATGATAGTGGACTCACACACTACTTATTCTTTTATCACTGACATTTCATTTAGTATAATGTCCTCCAGTGTCACCCATGTCATGTGGTGTTTAACAAAATTAGCATTCTGTTTAAGAAAGTTTAACATTATGTTTAAGAAAGTTCTTCTTTAGCTCAAAATTTATAAATATATTAGCTAAATTTCTGTTACTTTAATTTTTATATTTATACTATTATGCTAACAAAATTCCTTTAATCTTTTCTTTTCATAAGAAATTTTTAAGTTCTACTATATATTTCTGCTCATGCAATCAATCTATATAAAGATATCAAATATTTGGGCACAGAAAGATATGTTTTCTTAGCAGTATCAAAATCCACAGTCAAAATTGTGCGCTCAACCTACAGCGTCCCTTTTCATCAGGAAGTAGCTAAGAGAATACGCCATCCCCTTTTCCTTATGAATCAGGGTGAAGTCTCTCTCAGGGAGGAGAGATAGGGAATGGCAAAGGACACACTGACAAAGGAGATTAATCAGAACTGGCTTTGACAAGCACTGTGGCAATTGGACAATTAAAACAGACATTCGGGGGGGGAAAGAAGAATGAACTGGGGAGGAGGGTAGAGAAAACAGTGCAACAATGAATGAATGAAAACCCAAAATCTCTGTAAATATTCATTAAAACTAATAAAATTTAATATTAATTTTAAAAAAACAAAAAAATTGTGTGGTCATACAATATTTGTTCTTCTGTCACTGACTTATTTCATTCAGCATAATGTCCTCCAGGGTCACCCATGTTTCACAAAATGAACGTTCTTTGATACTTAAGAAAGTTCTTCTCTAATTCATATTTATAAAACTGATTACTTCATTTTTGTTCTACTTTAGATCAAAATTCTAGTAGTTTTGATGAACTACTTATTAGTAACTTGTACAGCATAACTTACGACTTTGTAGTTATTCACACTCAGCACAGGTTTCAAACCTCTCTCCCAATACCCCCCATTTAACTTTGGTTTCAATATTCCCTCTCTCAATCTCTGTCCTCCAAGACTGTTCCGCTCTCCTGAGTCATACTGCACTGCAACCTAGTCTTCACGAATAATTCTCTGCCTATCTGATTCCCATGGACATAAAATCCATGTATGCCTCTATCTACCTTAGGAACTAAAGAATTGTCCATCACATCCCACAGAGTTAAGGAGATCACATAGCAACAATTTAAAGTAATAAAATACAAATAAAAAATGGCTAAAAGACCACACTGGTAGGGGGTGGAGGGAATAAATATGCTATTGAGTGTTTCAGAAGCCAAAATAAAAAGACAAAAATCAGTTGCAGATCTCTCATAGTCTAAGAGGAAGAATCTAATTGGATTCCTAAGGGAGCTCCCTTTTGCTCTTGGCTTTAAGACAAATGTTTCCCTAGAGGTTGCATATGGAGAGGAGGGACTGAATATATTACGCTCTCAATACAATGCTAATACATTTTTTCTTGTAGACGCTTTTCATAAGAGTCGTTATTGTTACTCCAGACATAAACATTTTTCTATTTGATAGATGTCATTGAGAATTCCAAACTAGGTAATGGGTTATTGAGTGCTAGCATTTAAAAATAAGATTCTTACTGGATTTGTAGCAACAGAATTCATACAAAGATAATATGCTGTTCTAAAATAATGAAATTATTCTAATGATACAAGCATTATAGATTGCTACAAAGATTAACAAAGAAAATTTTTCTTTAAAATCCTATCTGTATGTCTTTCAAATTGAACCTAAATACACTGATCTTTGACCGAATGAGTAAATAAATAATCAAGAAACAAATTCTCTACAGAATTATTTGTTATATGCTATCAGAGAAAGTATTCTATTATTTATTCACCCATTCTATACTTTTCTTCACTATTCTTTTTCCTTCAGACATAAAACCATTGTGTCAATGACAGATTTTATTTTTTTGGTAAATTTTGATTATTTCATCTATTTGGTTTATTAAAATTATTTGAAGTATTAATATCCTTGGGATATAAAAATATTCTTATCATAAATATTTCTGTCCTCTAGTGGCCATGGAATTGATTACAAAATAACTATTTTGGTTTAATATAAAAATGCTGTTGTTGTTGTATACCAGCATGTCAGAACAATCTCATTGCTGACCCTCTAGTGGGTTTTCAGAGGTTGTAAATTCCATGGAAAGAGATTGTCTATCTTTCTCCAGAGGAGCAAGTGTTAGATTCAAACCATATCCCTTTGGAATGATAGTGCAACTCTTTATCACTAAGCCACCAGAGCTCCAAATACATTAATAGTAGAAAATTCTTGAACCCCAAATCAAGACCATAGGCAAATATTCTCTGTGTTTTGCCAATATATACTCTAATACTGGGAAAACTGTTCATCCCTAAAAAGAGAAGAATTGGGCAAAGATATCGTTAAGGTCTTATTAGCTTTAGTTAGTTTCTTAGAGTACTTTCATGTGCCCTGAACTATGATTAAACCTCTACATAATATCAAGATCTCTATGTGTCCAAAGTAAGGTCTAGAGTTTGTGCAGTATTCTTTCTTTCCTTTAAGCGATAAGACCAAGATAAAATAGGTTATTTAAGTAACTAGTTGTTGTTGTGTGCCATCATGTTGAAATGACTCATGGTTGACCCTCCAGTGGGTTTTCAGAGGCAGTATGGTGCACAGGGGTAGATTACCTATCCTTCTTCCATGAGAAGGATGTTTAGTTACTATTTATGCTTTACCAAAAAAGGGGGGGGTCCATTTCTGCAAGTCAATTCTAATTCACACAGGCTCATGAGTTATAGTTTAGAACTGTTTCATGGGGTTTTCTAAGCTATAATCTTAATAGTTCATCAAAGTTTTTCTTCTGCTGAACCACTAGGTTGGTTAAAACTGGCAATTGCTGGAGTAGACATGGTTCTTCATTTAGGCCTTGTGGTAGTTAGGTGTTGTAGAGCCGAGCATGACTCATAGTGAATTTATGAACCCTGATCTATCTAGCCCAGTTCTGAACCCTGTCCTATCTGATGCTGTCCTCATCATCACAAACACACTTGAGCCAACTGCTGCAGATACTGTATTACTCTATTTTATTGAGGATCATCCTCTCCTTTGATAACCCTTCACCTTTCCAAGCATTATGTCCCTTTCCACAGAATATCCAATCCTAACAACATAACCAAAATATATGAGATGAAGTTTCCCCATCTGTGGCTCCATGGCACACTCTGGTTTGCACTTTTCTACAAGATATATCTGTTTGCTTTTTTAGTAGTCCATGGGACATTTAGCACTCTTCTAGAACTCTACTCAAGTTCATTGGCCTTATCTATCCAATAAATATAATGATTATGTGGTAAGAATCTTTGCCTTCTTGATGTTGAGCTTCAAACCATATTAAAAACTACAGTCCTTGACCTTTCTCAGCAAACACTGCAGGTCCCCCTCAGTTTCAACAAGCAAGGTTGTGTCATCTGTATAACATAGGTTGTTGATGAATCTTCCTCCAATCTTGATGCTATGTTCTTCCTCATAATAATTCTCACCACTGGGCTAATTGGAAGCACCACGATAGATAGAGAAGAGACTGAGGTTGTTAACAATTTTATCTTGCTCAGGTCCACTCTTAGCACTAGCAGTCAAGAAGTCAAAAGATGAATTGCACTGGCTGCTGTCAAAGTCCTCTCCAAAGTACTAAAGAGCAATGTCGTCAGTTTGGAGACTAAGATGCACCTGATTCAGGCCATGATCTTCACAATTACTCAGTATGCAGCAGAGAGCTGAAAAATGACTAGGTATAACAGAAGAATTTATGTATATGACTTTTGGTGCTGGAGAAGTGTATTGAGCATACCATGGACCACTAAGAAAACAAACAGGTCTATCTTGGAGAAGGTGAAACCAATCTTCTCCTTGGAAGCAAGGACTTTGAAGCTCCATCTCATATGTTTTGGGCATGTGGCCAAGAGAAGGACATCATTCTCAGAAGGGTAGAGAAACAGCATAGGAGAGGAAGACCTCGAATGTATTGGCACAGTAACTTGGGTAATGGGGGTAGATATGTCAGAGACAATGAGATGGCTCAGGATAGGGCAGAGTTCAGAGCTATTGTACATAGGGTGGCTATGAGTCACAGATGATCCAATGGCACATAACAACAACTGTATGGTTAAAACAAAACAAAACAAAAATAAACAGATACCATGGCTTTGTCATCTACAAGACATATACATTGGATGGATTTCTAACCTAAGAAATTAATCTTCATTCAAGTTCTTGATTGACAAGTTATTAGTTCCGCTATTATGCAGTTATAGTCAAGTAATTACTAGCTCTCAGTTTCTGTTTTCTCATATGTAAAATATAGCTTTAGCTACTCTGTAGATCCCACAGAGACATCATAAAATTAAAACTAAGAAGTGATGTTGTAGACAGATGCTTCTAGAAAAGTACAAAGCTTTGTAGACATGAAGAAAAGTCAATAGAGGAGATAAATCATTGTCTAAATGAACCACAGTCCATCCATCTCCTTGTAGTCAAATAAAAACATATGATCCATAGAAGTTGGTAATTCAGGTTCATGTAATCCAGGTTCTTTCCAAAGGAAAGACAAAAAATGTACACCATGCACACCATAAACACACACACTACACAAAGTCTAACCCAGTTTTTCTAAACAATTACGTTCATCTGCATAGTAAAAAAACTTACTAAACATGTTATTTTTCCCTCATGAGACCACACTCCTAACCTAACATTTCTTCTTCCCAGGCAGACCTAGAAGAAAGAGTTCCCCACCATGAACCAGAACAACCACACAATTGTGAAGGAATTTGTCTTCCTGGAACTCACTCGATTTCAGGAGCTGGAGCGCTTCTTGTTTGTGGTCTTCCTTCTTGTGTATGTAACAACTGTGTTGGGCAATGCCCTCATTGTGGTCACTGTCACCTGTGAATCCCGCCTCCACACGCCCATGTACTTTCTACTGCGAAATAAGTCCGTCCTGGACATTATCTTTTCATCCATCACTGTCCCCAAGTTCCTGGTGGATCTTTTATCAAGGAGGAAGACCATCTCCTACAATGGCTGCATGGCACAGATCTTTCTCTTCCACTTTGTTGGTGGGGCAGATGTCTTTTTCCTCTCTGTAATGGCCTATGACAGATACCTTGCAATCGCCAAACCCCTCCACTACGTGAGCATGATGAGGAGAGAGGTGTGGTTAGCCTTGGTGGTGGCTTCCTGGGTGGGAGGTGGTCTGCATTCAATTGTCCAGACAATTGTTATGCTTCCACTTCCCTTCTGTGGCCCCAACATTCTGGACACCTTCTATTGTGATGTGCCCCAGGTGGTAAAACTGGCCTGCACTGACATCTCTGCCGTGGAAATTTTCATGATTGCTCACAACGGACTACTGACCCTACTGTGGTTCCTCCTACTTCTGGGGTCCTACACTGCTATTCTGGTGATGCTGCGATCCCACTCTGGGGAGGGGTGGAACAAGACCCTGTCCACTTGCACCTCCCACATCATGGTGGTGACCCTCCATTTTGTGCCATGCATTTATGTTTACTGTCGCCCTTTCATAACACTGCCCATGGACACTGCAATATCCCTCAATAACACAATCATCACTCCCATGCTGAACCCTATGATCTACACTCTAAGGAACCAAGAGATGAAGTCAGCCATGAAAAGACTACAAAGACGACTTCAATCATCTGAAAGCAGTGTACTAGGGTGAAGGAATAAATTGAAATTAGAAATTTAATTGTCTCAACATTTAGCCTTAGTGTAAGAGACAACATATTCTTATCTTACCAGTCATTTCCCTGTATATACTCAAGGTCACCTAATCCCATTGTTACTGTTGTTAGCTATCATATATCTGACTCAGACTCAAAGGAGACATTATGGATAATATTGACAACAATGGGACTTCAAGAATACTTATTTGTGCTTATGGAAAACCTATATATAGACCAAGAAACTATTGTCCAATCAGAACAAGGAAACATTGCAAGGTTTAAAATCAGGAAAGGTATGTGTCAGGGTTGTATCCTCTCGATACCTTTTTAATCTGTATGCTAAGCTAGTAATAGAAGGTTAAGTTTATAAAGAAAAATGTGGCATCAGAATTAGAGGAAGACTCATCAACAATTAATCACATAACCCTGCTCACAGAAAATGAAGAAGACTTGAAGCAATTGCTGCAAAAGATCAAAGACTACTGCCTTCAATATGGGATATAAATGAACATCAGAAAGGCAAAAAAACCTCACCACTGGACCAATACACAATATCACAACAGAAGGAAAAAAGTTTAAGTTAAAAACAACTTTGTTGTACGTGGCTCTACAATCAACACCCACAGAAACAGTGGTCAAAAAATAAAAAAAAAAAACATATTGAGTATGCCAAATCTGTTGTCCAAGACTTCTTTAAAAAGTGCTAAAGAGCAAGGATGTCAACAAGACTAAGTTTTGCCTGATGCAAGAAATGATATTTTCAATTGCTTTCTATGCATCTAAAAGTCGATCATCAAAGAATAAGGAAGACCAAAGAAGACTGGATGCTTTCCATGGTATTGAAGTAGAGTATTGAATATGCTTTGGACTGTTGTTCTTGTTGTTGTTATTATGTGCCATCATGTCGCCTGCGACTCATAGTGACCCTATGTACAACAGCCCTAAACTCCGCTCTGTCCTGTGCCAATTACACTGTCTCTGACACTCCCATCCCAATTGTCCCAATCACTGAATCAATCCACCTCATAGAGGGCCTTCCTCTTCTGCGCTGTCCCTCCACCCTCCCAAGCATGATGTCCCTCTCTAAGGACTGGTCTCTCCTCACAACATGTCCAAAGTATGTTAGACGGAGCCTCAGAATCCTTGCCTCCAAGGAGCCACCCGGTTTAACCCTCTCCAGGACAAATCTGTTTTCCTAGCAGTCCATGGTATTCTCAATACTCTTCTCCAGCACCACAGCTCAAAGGCATCAAGTCTCCTTCTATCCTCCTTGGTCATTGTCCAACTCTCTGATGCATAACAGGTGATTGTGAAGACCATGGCCTGTATCAGACGCACCTTAGTCTCCAAAGAGACACCATTGCTCTTCAGCACTTTGGAGAGGTCCCTAACAGCAGACTTTCCCATTGCAATGCGCCTTTTAATTTCCTGGCTGCTGGTGCCAAGACTGTTGACTATGGAGCCAAGCAGACTAAAGCTGTGTACAATCTCAATCTCTTCACCATCCATCCTGATGCTGCCAATTGGTCCAGTGGTGAGAATCTTTGTCTTCTTGACATTGAGCCTCAATCCATATTGTAGGCTGCAGTCCTTGACACTCTGCAGCAGGCGCTTCAGGTCCTCTTCAGTTTCAGCAAGCAGGGTTGTGTCATCCGCATAACGCAGATTGTTGATAAATCGTCCACCAATCTTGACCCCACATTTCTCCTCATAGAGCCCAGCCTCCCGGATAATATGTTCTGCATACAGGTTGAAAAGGTATGGAGATAGGATGCATCCCTGGCGTACGCCCTTCCCAATTTTGAACCATGCATTGTTCCCTTGCTCTGTTCTGACGACTGCCTCCTGGTTCAAGTATAAGTTTCGCATTAGAACGATCAAGTGTTCTGGGATTCCCATTCTTCTCAGAGTCAGCCATAGTTTGTTATGATCTACACAGTCAAATGCCTTTGCATAGTCAATGAAACACAGATAGACATTCCTCTGGTATTCCCTGCTTTCAGCCAAGATCCATCTAACATCAGCTACAATATCTCTAGTACCACGACCCCTTCTAAACCCAGCCTGGACTTCTGGTAGTTCTCTGTTGATGTGCTGTTCCAGTTGTTTTTGGATAATCTTCAGTAAAATCTTGCTTGCATGTGAAATCAATGAGATTGTTCTGTAGTTTCCACATTCTGTTGGGTCACCTTTCTTTGGGATAGGAACAAATATAGATCTCTTCCAGTCAGTTGGCCAAGTGGTTGTTCTCTAGATTTCTTGGCACAATTTGGGAAAACTCTTGAAAAGAGCAGAGTATTCCTTACAGGAAAGGATGATTCGATTTTTTTTCTCCTGTATTTTGGGCATATTGTCAGGAGGGCATCCTCAGAAGGAGACATCATGCTGGAAAAGACAGAGAATCACTTAAAAAGAGAAAAGCCCTCAAGGGGATGGGTTGATGACACAGTAACTCTAACAACAGGTTTGAACATATCAGAGATCATCAGAATGGTACAGAATAGGGCATGGTTTTGATTTGTTGTTCAGAGTGTCGCTATGAGTGGTAGTCAACTCAATAGCACCTAACAGCAACAATAATGGAGACTTCATGCCCAGTGAAAATGCTGCCTAATCCTGGGTTATTTCTAAGATGGGTTGAAAGCAGAGTGCTGGAATAATCAGGAGTAGATCTTGAATCTTTCTGCCTATTTTGTCTTAATCTGATGGGCAGTTCTTTTTATCTCATGATTCCTTCCACTAATTTCAATTACTCTACAAAGCTACCCTACACAAGGGTAAGTTTCATGTATGTCCTGAGGGTGTTCCTCTTCTCTACCTAAAGAATAAAGATCCTTACTGGACCCTGACTCTTATCATCAAATGTAATTGCAACTCCATGTGACTAAAACTACGGACTTCTATCACAGAGTATAGCATGTTTAATAAAGGGCTTTATTTTAAAGATGCCTTCTGTCACATTATTCAGATGTTTTTCTAATATTACTCTCTACAACCCACATAGCTATGTCTAAAGTTTAACAACATTAATACTTTGCACCATAAATGTGCTTTTATTTTTTTTATAGGAACAAGGTTATGAAAGGGAAGAAGAGGAGAGAGAAAGAAATTTGGATTGCATGGAGGCAACATAGTGCTTTTATTTTTATAATAAACTTTTCTAAGGTTGCTTCTATGCTGTGTAATTAACTAGGTACCTGCCTAAAAAATTTCTTAGTGTGTCCTGAACTGGTCTATTGCCTGGACCATGGCACCACTGCCTGGCAGGTCCCCCCAACCCTAGATCCTGGACCCTTGAAATTATCTGAAGGCCTTACCCAGCTGCCTGACACTGCCATCCACCATCTGGAAGCCTGGTACATGCCCTTCTCCTGTAATTCCTAGTCCCACTGCCTGAACACTCCACCTGCTAACCTGAAGTCACAGCCCTGATGCCTAGAAGTCCTGCCCCTGCCACCTGGAGTATATGACCCCACCATCTGGAAGACCTGGGTCCACAACCTGGATGTCCCAGCACTAACACCTGGAGGATTACCCAATGCTGCACCTCCGAACTATGCCAGAAACATCGGTACCACAGGCAAGACCATTTCATTTTCTCTCCCCTCCTAAATCATGAGCTACCTTTAGCCTAGAGCACCTTGGACTAGACAAGCTGCAAGAGTTATCTAACAGAGGAAGCTACTAATTCACAGGACTTATCCCAAACTGAAGCAAGTCTTCCCTTGAGTCAAAAGTTCAGAAACTCAGGCAGGTTACCTGCTCCACCCTCCTCTGGAGCAGTGTTATCAGACCCAGACACTGCTATCATACCAGGTGTGAAAAACTCTCCCACAGCAATGTCATGTAAGAAGCAGGCAACCTCACACCCTACGCATACCCAAAGAAAGATATCACCCCATGACACAGTATCAATGGATTTCCTGAAGCCAGCAAGTCTGATGGAACTTTCTGACACAGAATTTAAACGAACAATGATTTAATATTTTCAATGGGTGAAAGACAAACCTGAAAAATTACAGGACACTGCAAGCAAAAACCAGGAGGAACTTTAAAAAATAAAATCCAAAATAATGCAGAGAACACAAACAAAGCATTAAAGGCTCTGGAAAAGCAAGAAACTACAATCCAAAATATGAGGACCAATGTTTCAGATACTGTCAACATTGTGGGGAGACATATGAACAAAGTTGAAGAGATGGAACACAGACCAGTGAACTGGAAGATAGAATTGTCACCATTGATCTGCTAGAGCAAAAAGCAGGATCAAAAAGGAAGGAAAAAGAAGAAATCCTAAGAATAATCTCGGACGCCATCAAGAAGAACAACAGGTGCATAATCAAAATCCCAGATCAGGAAGAAGTAAGTAAAGGCACTGAGAAGGTTGTAGAAGAATTGCTTTCCAGGCATAATGGAGAATGTGAGGATATGTATTCAAGAAGCTAAGCAAACACCATATAGAACAGACCCCAAAAGAATAACAGCAAGGCAGACCATAGTCAAATTTTCCAGAACCAAAGATAAGGAGAGAATTTTGAAAGTAGCAAGGGAGAAACAAAGAGTAATCTATAAGGGAGAGCAAATAAGATTAAGTGCTGATTTCTCAGCAGACATGATGTAAGAAGAAGACAGTGGAATGACATATATTGAATACTCAAAGAACTCAGCTGTCAACCAAGAATACTATACCCAGCAAAACCGCCCATCAAATATGAAAGAAAGAACAATATATTCTCAGAAAAGCAGAACCTAAGGGAGTTTGTAAAAGCAAGACCAGCATAGCAGCGAACACTGAGAGATGTCCTCCTTATAGAGGTGCCACCGAAAGTTGGATGGACCAAAGTAACCAGCAGCAACACCAAAAAGAACTCAACAAAATGATAGGAATAAAATCTTGCCTTTCAATTATCACACTGAATTTGAATGCTTTAAATGCACAACTGAAGAGAAAAAGAGTAGCAGATTGGATTAAAAAAAAATCAATATGTTGTCTACA